GTCCTCGAGGCGTGGGAGGCGACGGGACGGCGAGTGGGTCCAGGAATCCGGCGTATTCCGCGTCCCAAGACCGCAAGTTGGCAACTTGCGTTCTGTCGATGCCCGGTCCGGCGGGCCAGGGTTTGGTCCGGCAGACCGGGGGCCGTTTATTTTTTTTTTCGAACTTTCTCCCCAGTCCGCGCTGTCTGGTCCGAGTCCGGCTGAGTGCTGGTCCGCCCCTGACCAGGCCTGGTCCGGCGGACCAGCTTTTTTTTTTTCTTTCTTTTTCTTTTCCCGTTTCTTCGTTCTTTCTCGGTCCAATCCGCACGTGACGATCCTCGTGCCTCTCCCCGGCGTTGCACTATGTATTTTTGGTGATTCCGTGTTATCTCTATTTAATTATTTATTTTTAAATAATTAAATATTCAATTCGGGTTTCGGGGTATTACACTGTTGAACGTCATAAAGTTAGGTTAGTCGCCAAAGGCTATACACAATTAGAAGGAATAGATTATCTCGAGACTTTTAGTCCTGTGGCAAAGATGACATCTGTCAGAATTGTTCTAGCACTGGCAGCTTCGCAGAACTGGATTCTTCATCAGCTTGATGTTTCAAATGCTTTTCTGAATGGTGACTTGGATGAAGAAATTTACATGTCTTTGCCTCCAGGATATGTTGTACTTAAGGGGGAGCAAATTCCTTCTAATTTTGTGTGTAAACTTCAGAAATCCCTCTACGGATTGAAACAAGCATCTAGACAGTGGAATATCAAGCTTACTCAGGTTTTGTTAGATGCTGGTTATCTTCAATCTCAGGCAGATAATTCACTTTTTGTCAAGAAAGTTAATTCTGCTATTGTAGCTGTTCTAGTTTATGTTAACGACATCTTGGTAACAGGCAATAATGCAGAATTGGTTTCTGAAATTAAATCTGTTCTTAGTACTGCATTTAAGATTCGAGATCTTGGGGATTTGAAGTTCTTTCTTGGACTTGAGGTGACACGATCTTCAAAAGGGATTTCAGTGTGTCAAAGAAAATATACCTTGGAATTACTTGAAGATTTTGGCATGCTGGGGTGTAAGCCAGCCTCAACACCTATGGAATTTCGTAACAAGCTATCTTCTGATTCTGGTATATTATTTTCTGATCCACTGGAGTATCGAAGGCTTGTTGGCAAACTCATTTATCTGGCTTTGACGAGACCTGATATTAGTTTTGCTGTGACAAAACTGAGCCAGTATATGTCTCAACCTCGTTCAGATCACCTTCAGGCAGCTCATCGAGTTCTCCGTTATTTGAAGGGTGTTCCTGCGCAAGGTATTTTCTATCCAGCTTCTACTGATACTCGGCTTACTGCGTTTTGTGATGCCGACTGGGCATCTTGTCCAGATTCGCGCCGGTCAGTTACTGGCTTTTGTGTGTTCTTTGGCAAAGCTTTGATTTCATGGAAGTCAAAGAAACAGTCTACTATATCTCGTAGTAGTGTTGAATCCGAGTATAGAAGCATGGCACAAACCACATGTGAATTGGTTTGGAATGCATCAGTTTTCAAAGATTTGCATTTTGGTATTCAGCAACCGGTGACATTGTTCTCTGACAGTTTGTCTGCTATTCATATTGCGAATAATGCGGTGTTTCATGAGCGCACCAAGCATATTGAACTTGATTGCCATTTTGTTCGGGAGCAACTCAAGGTCGGGTTTCTGAAGCCATTGCACGTTTCTACAAACGATCAGATTGCTGATGGGATGACTAAGCCTCTGTATGTGGATCACTTCCGACATCTTCTTGGCAAGATGGGATTACATTCTTTGTACTCACCATCTTGAGAGGGAGTCTTAGTGTATCTGTTCTTAGGCATTTGGTTTATTCTGGTTTAGACCATTTTATTGTTTCCGGTTTATTTTTGGTTTTCTGGTTTGATTGTTTAGTATAAATAGTTTGTACTGTTGCATTTTTGTGTGTTAATGAAAATTAGAAAATTGTCCCAGTTTTTCCTCTCACGCAATTTCAAATTCTCTCGAGTTTGAAAATGCAAAACACCCAAATTAGTTTTCTTAATTACTTTTTATGATTCGATTCAATTAATTTAATTTAAAAAATCATATTCAATCTACTTTTATGTTATATCCGATTTAAATATAATTATAATTATATAAATATTCAATTCAACTAGATTAAATTTTATAGTTTTAGGTTTAACAGTACAATTTATTACGTTTTAGTGAAAATTGTACAATGGCGAGAACAAGAAGATTTATTTATCCTTAATTAAAAGGTCAAAAAGTTTTGTATGTTTTGAGCATTTGTCTTTCTTTTTTTTCTTCCCACCTGCAAATAATTTGTATTAGAAAAATGAAAATTTCGGTGTTTCTTGGATAAGAAGGTTTCAGAATTTCTGTAAATGATAAATGTATATATTACTTTTCGAGGCATAAGAAACAAAACAGATAAATTAAGACGACGCTACTAATTTTTAATAATCAAAGATCAAATAAAACTTAAAAAAAAAAAGGCAGCTGCAAAATCAGTAAATCAACCAAATGAAAATGTAAATAAAAGCAAAAATATAGCAAGATAAGTAAAACATTATATTTTTTTTTATTTTTTTTAACTATGAGGAACCCCTTTGACTACCTACCCTTACAAACGGAGACGAACTGGCCATCACCCGCGTCTAACAGTCCCATGGACCTCAGTCCGCCGGACCTGACCACCAGGCGCGCCTAACGCTCGGGCCGTAGTTGGACTTAGGTGACTGCAGGTCAAACCCCACGCCCATGCGCACGAGCCTGCAACACACGCGGATGAGATAAATCAGCCCATTATGATGGGCTGACAGGCGAGCAGGTCAAATGCAAGGAAGAGCGATGAGAGGATTCGAACCCTCTACCTCAGGATGATGCACCCTGCTCCCTTACCACCTGACCTGGCCCCAAAGGGCAAGTAAAAACATTATATTTATTTTAAAACTTTGCATTTCATCTCATATGTCATTCAGTTTACCCAAACATTAATTGATTTTATTTTTATCAGTCTCATCTTCACACTTGAATCATTTTTAAACTCTAATTTTTCTCTTATCAGTCCTTTCTTTAAATTTCTACAAAAACACCACAATTAATGACCCAAAAGCAAACTGATAGCATTAACAAAGTTTATCTTTGGAGGCTTGGAGCATATGAGAAGGGAATTTGCATCTTCATAACCAAAATAGCTTTTGATTATTTCATTGATTATTATGAAAACTTCGATATTATTCATGATTTGATTCATCATTTATTTAACTATGGAGAGAAATTCGTATTGTATTCAATTTCTTGTAGTTTCATGTCTTTGTCAAATTTCCAATGGTCACCACCAGAGGAGGATGCTTCTTTATATCAGAAATATATATATATATATATATATATATATATATATATATATAATTCATAGAATTTCCTACAAACGAAGGAAAAAAAATATAAAAAGAGGTAAAAAAAATGATAAACAAAGACCGGATAGATTAAAAATATGATAATACCACAAAGCAAAGTTTTATACGATTATTTATAATTTAAACAATACGAAAAAAGGGTCAATGTAATATCATTAACAAAGACCAAGAAGACCTCAAACCCTATAAATGTAACGATGCCCCTTTTGTGTATATACAAACATATCTTACAATCAAAATATTTGCATTAGTTTTCCTTTCGATTTCCTCAACTCTTCTCTCCTCTCCACAAAAACAGCGAATCGATCAATTTTGGGTCCAAATAAAAAAAAAATTCTTTGAATGGAATATTCTTGTGAGGAAAATGCAAACTTTGGGAATATGCTTCTTCAAGTCAACCAATCGGACGAATCCAGTCAACCTTACAGAACTTCCTTCCATTTCCAACCTCCCAAAAACTGGCTCAATGGTAATTATGCAACTTCACTCCTAATCATTTTTTCCTTATCTATATTACATCTTATATATATATATATATATATATATATATTTGATAGAGGTGCATATATTGGACATCGGTTAGGTATTGGTTAAGTTGTTTTTGGGTCCAAATTTTTTCGGATTTTTTATGAGTTTATACCCATTCATTTTTCAAATTTTCTGATATGTTCGGATTTTATTGGGGTTTGGTTCAAAACCGGTTTAATTTAAGAAAATACTTATTAAAAAAAGTAGTTTCATTCCGTTCCTTTGGTTATTTTTTTAATATAAGATTAATTTGGATTTTAAAAAAATAGTAACTAACAGATTTTTATGTCTAAAATCAATTCTAGTAAAGATAATCTGTTATTCATTCGGTCCTCCTAGGAAAGCATACGAGGATTGTGATCAAATGTCTGTCGGCGTAAAGTTCATGATTTATTAATAAGTTTTAGATCATAAACATAGTTTGGAATGGGATTTTCAAGAATATATACCAAAGTTTTTTCATTTCAAATTTCCAACCTTATGATATATTGGGCTGACCATCTTCATGCATGTCTCTTTCACTCCAACTGGATCTCTGCACTGCCATGTCTTGTCTTCAAATCTGAAGATCCCAACGGTAATCTTTGTCTATAATTCTTTTGCTTGAATCCCAAGTAACCTAGTTTTTGGAAACGAACGTTCTTTTTTTCATACACGATGTGATCGAGCAGGGCCAATGTATTACAAAGGGATGTACCATTTGTTCTACCAACACAACCCGTCTAGTCCTTTGTTCGGAGACATCATGATATGGGCACACTCCGTTTCACGCGATCTCGTCAACTGGGCCCATCTCAAGCCCGCCCTTTGTCCCTCGGATTCATACGATATCAACAGCTGCTGGTCGGGATCCGCGACGATCCTTCCCAGTGGCAAACCTGTAATTCTGTACACCGGGATCGACTCCAAGAAACACCAAGTGACGAATCTTGTCGAACCAAAAGATGATTCTGACCCTTTACTCCAAGAATGGGTAAAATCCGAGAAAAATCCGGTGATGGTTCCACCATCTGACGTAGAGGTTGATTGTTTTCGGGACCCTACGACCGCATGGCAGGGGCTGGATGGGAAATGGAGAGTTCTGGTCGGAGCTAAGACAAGAGACAGTAGCAGAGGAGTTGCTCTGTTGTATCACAGCGATGATTTTGTCAGGTGGACGAAGTTTCCGAACCCTCTTTTCGGATCAGAAGTGACGGGGATGTGGGAATGTGTAGATTTCTTCCCAGTTTCTATCAATGGCACAATTGGCGTTGAGACTTCGGTGAACAGCGAATGTGTTAGGCATGTCCTGAAAGCAAGTTATGGAGGACATGACTGTTATGTTGTCGGTTCATATGATCCCGAGACGGAGAAATTCTTGGCGGATTCTGATTTCTCGGGTTCAGTCTCTGATCTAAGACTTGATTATGGAACGTACTATGCATCGAAAACGTTTTTCGATAATGCAAAAAACCGAAGGATTTCGTGGGGTTGGGTATACGAGTTGGATAGCAAAGAAGATGCCATTGAGAAAGGATGGTCCGGTCTTATGGTAAAAAACAAACAAACATATTTTGTGTTAGTTATCATTACAACCTTTGTGAACTAGTGGACAGATTACATGAATTGTCTTGCTTTGATTCTTAGTCTCTACCAAGGGAGATTTGGCTAGATGAATCTGGAAAGAGGTTAGTACAAAGACCAGTTGAAGAACTCAAGAATCTCCGAGCCAACCGAGTTTGCTTGCATCGCAAGAAACTCGAAGGAGGATCGGTTCTTGAAGTTTCGGGCATCACTGCATCACAGGTAAAAAGCGAAAAGCTTCCTCGGCATTTCTCTAGAATCTTCCGGATTAGTAAAATGCTTCTCTCTTATCTTCTCATCGTTTAAAAGGCGGATATCGAAGTAGTTTTTGAACTACCTGATCTAGAAGATGATGAAGAAGAAGTAGAGTTCTTGGATTCAGACCAATCTGATCCTCAAGAACTATGCAAGGCGTCGGTCCAAGGCGTCTATGGCCCTTTTGGATTGCTAACATTGGCGAGTAAGGACATGTCGGAGCAAACAGCGATCTTCTTCCGAGTTTTTCGCTGTCATGAGGGATATTCGATCCTCATGAGCAGCGATCATAGCAAGTGAGTTTTGATCTCTGAAACCCGATGATAATTCGAATAAGGATATTGTTTCTGATTTTGATTTGTCGGAGTCTGATGTTTTAGATCTTCATTAACAACCAACGTCGACAAATCCTCGCACGGGACATTCCTAGACATGGATCCGAAACACGGGAAGATCTCATTAAGATGCTTGGTGAGTGTTAGTTTCGGCTAAATCTCATTACAGAAACTCGTCTTTCCAAGTGTTTATGTCATATTATTACACGAAATGAGCTTGTTTCGATTGTTTTTTTTTTCCAGATCGATCACTCGATCATAGAGAGCTATGGAGGAGGAGGAAGAAGTGTGATGACAAGTAGGGTTTATCCGAAACTAGCGATTGGTGAAGAAGTTTACCTTCATGTCTTCAACAATGGAACCAAGACTGTCACTCTCTCGTCTTTGGAAGCTTGGAGCATGACAAAAGCCCACTTCAACTCCAACGACATCCAATGAGGGTTCTTCCTTTCCGGCTCATCAAACCCTAAATAACATGATCATGATTTAGCCCACGCATCAATTCCAAATGATGATGATGATGATGTCTGTCTAAGATATACAACTTTCAAATTTCGAGGATTTAAGGTCGTTGCCAGAAACTTTCTAAATCTTGAAATTGAAATATTAATATTTAAATTCGTCTAAGGCCGCTGAAAATTTCGCGGCGTATAAATGGGTATATAATATATGAGTCTATATTTTATACGTACATGTACATACTTAATACATATTTTTTTTTGTTAAACTACTTAATACATATTTTGTGATACACTTTGGAATCGTATTCACGAAATTTATACATCTTTTAGAATCGTAGCATATTTTATATATGTCCTATAATATTAAAAGGCCATTTAAAAATAAGAGACAAGAAAAAGGATTACAGTCCAAAATAGAGAGAAAATTCAGTTTTCATGACGCATACAATATTAATAAAAACATGAAATTTGTTGAGAAATAAGTTTCTTATACATGATTTTAATCACACAATAATATCGATCCTCCGACCAACCAGAATAATCTATATAATGTTCACGGAGCCAATGATTCAATATATATATATAACATTATGTGAGACAATGGTTGAAATATATATACACACACATATATATTTGTGTGTGTGCGCGCATCGGTTTCGTATATGCTGTAAACTGTTGCCATTCACTCGCAGCTTGCAATTATATTGCCTTTAATCATTTTGCTTCCCCTTTCACTTCATTATGCAAAACCGAACGTCGATTAGTGTTGGTGGGGTATCTCTGTTTTTGTTTTTGTATGATCTTTATATATAAATATAAGATATTATAAACACATCACTAATAGAATTGAAAGTGATTAATTTGGTTCTTTCCGGTACGAAATAAATATCGACTCTTGTTAATTTTTTATAAATTAATTTATATAACTAAAATTGATTTTAGTGATATCAAAATCATATATCCCATTCATGCGATTTATAATTGTTGAAGAGATCCAGTTTAGGGTTTATGTAATGGGAGTGAAAAACAAATTTTTCTAAAGGCTAAACAATGGTTCACGCATGAAATCATTTTGAAGATAGAGAACATGTTCTCGAGGGCATGTTCTTCATTAATAATCAAAATACCACGACTAGGGGTGATCATAATATCCGAAAAAACAGAATCGATTCATTATCCGAACCGAAAATTCGGATATGCTGAGTTCATGCACCAGATACAGATATTAGTTTGAAAATATTTGTCGGATACGGATCGAATACGGATATTAAAATAGAATTTTCCCTGACATATCTGATACGATCCGAATCTTTTAGTAATATTATTAAATATTAGATAATTTAGTAATTAATTTATATGCAAGGGGTCATTTTAAAATTAATAAAAAATATACAACTTTTTTTTTTTATCATTCTCTCACCAACATCTTTTTCTCCCCTCTTTCCGCTGTTCATCATCTTGCTTTTTTTTTTGGGCTATTCTGGGTCTTTTGTACGATGAGTAGATTTTTCATCAAAGTTAGAGATTATTCGTTAGATAGTCTTAATTTTTTTCAGATTTATAAATTCTCTTCAACTGGTTTTGTTGCATTTCATATATATGTCCCCATCTATGAGGAATATCTCTAAGCCTCATATCTCCGTTTAAGGTAAATTTGGATTATCAATACAATCTGATTATATATATATGCATTACATGATAATAAATCTTATCCTAAGGTTTTATGAAATATTTATGTAAACATGCAATCTTATCGTCTAATAATTTTTTTGGTTTTTTTTTATTTAGATGGAATATACGATAGAAAACTCAAAAAATATTCTTTTTTGTGTTTATTTGTTATTTTATGTTTATATTTTTTAATTTTTATCATAATTTAATTCGGATATGGATATCCGCAGTTTTTTATGGATATCCGAAACAATAATATCTAAAATATGCGGATCGGATATAAATAGTAAAATCATATATTTGTACAGATTGAATACTTCACATATCCGATCCGTGCCTATCTCGACGATGAAAAAGTCAATACCCTTTTATCAGAGTCATCTCAAACTTTTATGGGGTCATATATATTTTATAAAATTTAATTAATAAAAATGATAAATTTATATAATAAAAATATTATTATTAAAAGTATTTAATAATAAAAAAATATAAATTTATATAATAAAAATAAGAAAAAATTTGTGCCAGTGTGCCAAATATAACAATGTCATTGGAAATCTATACTTTTTTCCTTCCTTTGCAAACTATACTTTTATATAAATTTTTGACAAAAATATCTTTACTTTATTGTCTATTTTTAATATTGTCATTTAGCGCTACGAAAAATGTGCAGTATGAAAACCATATTTTTTGGAAATCGTGTTATCCAGGAGAACTGTTTTTATCCGAAACAACTGTTTTTCATTCGGAAAAGTCTGTTTTTTTTGTCTGGGAGAGCCATATTTGTTTGGGAGAGTCTGTTTTTTATCCGGAAGAACTGTTTTTTGTTTGCGAGAGCTATTTTTCGTCGGGAGAGTCCGGAAGATCTTTTTTTTGTCCGGGAGAGCCGTTTTTCATCCGGAGAGTCTGTTTTTATCTGGGAGAATATTTTTTTATTTGATTAAAACATCATAAATTTAATGTTATGAGTAATGAGATCAGCATGTGATCACACTATATTTCGGTTCACGTTGGTCACATGGTAACAGTTGGAGAAGGGTATATATTGAAGTAAGAATAACAAAGCAAGACTATTTTTTATAATGCCCCTGTTCAAAAGGCATTATATAAACAATACTTTTACTTTGCTATTTTTACTTCAATATATACTCTTCTCCACCTGTAACCATGTGACCTATGTGACCCAAAATATAGTGTGGTCACATTTTAATTTTATTGATTATAACGATAAATTGATGGTGATCACACTAATTCATTATGTTCATACCTTGTATAACTTACTAATCATTTGATTAAAACATCAGAAATTTAACGTTATGAGTAATAAGATCAAAATGTGACCACACTATATTTCAGATCATATGAGTCACATGGTCACAACTGAAGAAGAATATGTGTTGAAGTAAAAATAGCAAAGTAAAGGTATTTTTTATAATGCCCCTGTTCAAAAGCATCAGTTACACTTTTCAATGCTTGGTCCACTATCATGTTTGGATCTCTCAACCTAACGTTTATTTGAGTGTCCAAATGCTCGTCTGAATATCCAATGCTTGACCTAACACTCGTCCGAGTGTCACAACACTCGACCGAGTGTTTCTCCAAAATATTCGAGTCACTTTAACACATGTTTATGTGTCCAACCCTTATATGTGCGACCTTATATACATCCAATGTGACAGTGATTCCGACCACACCATTTCGGTCCATATGTTGGTCTTTAACAAGACATTACTATTGAAATAGTGAATATAGAAGTAACCGTTTGGAAGAATATCTTCGCGATTAAATCTCAAATCACACGCTATAATCATGCTAAGATAATCATTTCATACTTTCTCATATAATTAGCTACACTTACCATATATATATGCTAGATATGATTTGTCGTTATTATATGGCAACGGTCACATGATGTTTTATTGTATCTTTCTTACCATTCTTCTCATGTATGTGGTTGTATCTATAAGTAGATGTTGAAATCATTCAATAAAGATTAAGTCAAAGAGTTGAAAATCAACTCTCTTCTTCTTGAATCATACGAGCTCTTCTCCTTCCCCTTCTTTCTTTATTTTTATTACATTTTCTCCATTCTCAAACATAAAAGTATATAAAAATCTACATGATATCAGAGCAAAGATCCATAAGGACCATTCTTTTCTTCATTTATGTTGTTTAAACACTACAAACCATTCCAAAAGATATTCCCTCTTGGTATCATTTCAAACTGAAGAGGAACATGTTTTGTTCAAGATTTTTTTTTTCAATTCTTTTGAGGTATTTCAGGTTAAAATACCACAAAAATGTCCATCTATGGCTTTGACATAGAAGCCTACATAAAAGAGAAAGAGAAAAAATCAGTTTTTGATTCGATTTCGGCGAATGGAACCCCGATGGACATTATAAAGATGGAAAGATGAAACCATTGTTCCCACACGTTCTATATCCTTGAGGTTGAAGAAACCCAAGGAGAATATGAAGAAGAGGCTAACGACAAAGTGGAAGGAGGATTTGTGCAAGGGACCTCAGTGGATAGTTTCAAAGAGAACATGAAATTCCATGAGGAAGCACCATCCGAGGGGCTATGCGATTGTCTTCCACAAACAATCTCGGTCATTTTCTAATCTCTCTCAAATTAATTTTATCACTAATGTTTTTGAATTTTTTATCAATGATGGATAGAAGAATATCCACCAAAAGGTTGAAGAGAATGAGTTCTTAGAAACAACATTCGCTTCGGAATAAGAAACTTTTCACAACATTTGTTAGCAGCACACGAGTGAAGGGGAATGTATTAGAGCTCTCGTGTGCCTCTCAAGAAAAAATGACACATCAAACGAAGGAATATCAAGGCGAAAATCTGAATATAACAAGATGTGCGAAGAAAAGGCAATGGGTTCATACATTTCTAGGTTTGGTAAATTTATTATTGAACCTTTTGTTTTTGATCCGGGTGAAAACGTTTATATATTACATGATGAAAAAGAAAACATAATAATTAAGAATACACATGACTATGCATATAAAAGTATAAATGATATGTTCCTTATTTTCAATGGACATTTGAATGACATGTTTGAAATAAATGATACACCAAATGTGAATCTCATTCAAATAATGTTTTATGTCGTAAGGTCATCAAACTTAGATTTCATGTATGTTAGAACGCTATTTCTACTTTTGTATTTGATAACAAACATATCATTGCATTTTTATATTCGGTTCATCGTGTCAAATGGAGTGTCACAACCTACTTTATGTTTGCTAATACTTTATTTAAGTGGATGCAGAAAGTTAGAATTTTGAAATCAATAGAATCAACATGAAAGAGGATGGAATGCTTGAGGATCTCAACTCAACCATGAAAATATTCGCTTGTCAGAATTAGATTTATGAAATTTCTCCAATTCAATCTTGAGGGAGAAATTGAAATAGTGAATATGAAAGTAACCGTTTGGAAGAATATCTTCACGATTAAATCTCAAATCACA